TGTGTAGGATCTACATCATAAACCCCTCCAAGGGTTCAACATGATGAACATCCAGAACTAACCACAACTCAGGTTGTGGCTGCCCCATCCCTGGAAGTGTCCAAGGCCAGGCTGGACGGCGCTTGGAGCAACCTGGGCTAGTGGAAGGTGTCCCTGCCCATGGCAGGGGGTGGAACGAGATGAGCTTTAAGGTCCCTTCCAACCCAAACCAGTCTGGGATTCTGTGATTCTCTAATTCTAACCCAAGACAACGTGCATGTGAAATCATAGAAGGTCTGCTGACTACAGAGTGCACTAACAGCAGCGTTTGCAAAACAAAAACAGCCCATGGAGAAGTTGCAGATGGGAAGGAGAGAAGGGAGCCAGTGGAAAGGACAAACTGTAGCAGCTGGAAATACTTAAAGCCACAGATTCTGGAAAGAAAAGGAAAAAATCTGTCTCCTCCCTAGGATCCAACTTCCCATCCTTCAGTAGGATAAAAACAAAAACCTTTTAAAACTCTGCTGTAGGGAACAAAGAAGGAGTAAGAGCTGTTAATCCTCCCTGACCCTCGCTGCGCTTTCTCTCAGCTCATGTCTACACAACACTGGGATCATCTATCACTTTCCAAAAATACTGCTCATTTCCTGTATTTCTGTAATTCTATCCCCTGGCATCAAACACTGCCTTTTGTCTTTGTCTTCTCATCTCAGTTGGATGTACCAGGATAATTTCTTTCTATAACAAAGGCACATTTTATAACAAAGACCCCTCAACCTCTGAATTCAATTGCTATTGACTCTCAATCTCTGCTATAGCACAAGACTTGTTTGAAAAAGTGAGTCATTCAAATGATTTAGTCTTACACGTTTATGAAAACTGTAAAATGTGGTGTAGGAAGAGTAATAAAACTGCACCCAGAGGTACAGAACAGCCAGTTTGCACCCCTTCTGCACCCTGCTACAGTGTCAGCTTGTATTTTGAGTTTTTAACAACTCCTGTGACCCCATTTTTGTGGGCTCAGTCTGCTTTACCCAGCACTTTCACACCTCTGCAGCCCTTGCTGTGGCACTGAAGTTGCTGCCAAGTTCCACTGGACTGCTCAGTGCCGAGAAGCAGATGCTCCATGACTCATGCAGTGCTTGCAGACACAAGTTATCCATAACAGCACCATAATTAACAAGACCAAATGTCAGCTCTAAAATTCAAACATGCAGATGTTCATGCCCATGGCCTATGACCACGCTAATTTAGGAGACAGTGTCTGATCCTGCAAGTGTTTTAGACCAGGTTGGACAGGGCTTGGAGCAACCTGGGATAGTGGGAGGTGTCCCTGCCCACGGCAGGGGGGTGGAATGAGATGAGCTTTAAGGTTCCTTCCAACCTAAACCATTCTGTGATTCTGTGATAAAAATATAAAGTGGAAGTAAGAGGTGCTGATTTTCATCTATCATATGAATGACTTTAGCGAATTTTGAGCGTCAGAAAGAGCCAGACATTCTGAACAGACAGCAAATTCTGGTCGTGAGAAAAGATAACGAATAAATAATGACTGTCTTAGCACTGCTAAGAGCTAAATCCCCCTTCCCCCCAAGCAAACAGTCCTAGTCCAGCTAAGAGGTATGGTTTAAGCAAACTGGACTAAGCTGTGGTAACTGTGGCCCTTCCTAAATGGAGTTTTCGGTGCTCACAAGCAGAGGTTTTCCACTTCACTCGAAAGCTTCACCTGGCACTGAAATTCCGGAGGACTTAAATGCAAAACCCCAACATTCAAGAGGAAACGAACCCGGACGTTTCGCTGGGTGACAAGGCCGGAGCTGCTGCAGAAGTCGCGTTTTCCAAGGGCGGGGGAACATTCCCGGAGTGGCTTCGGTTCCAGCGGCACCTGCGCAGGTACCGCCGGGGACCCAGCGCCACCTGCGGGGCGGGCCCGGCCACTGCATCCCGATAGCCCGGCACCATCCCGACACCATCCCGACACCATCCCGACACCATCCCGACATCATCCCGACACCATCCCGACATCATCCCGACACCCCGACATCATCCCGACATCCCGACACCATCCCGACACCATCCCGACATCCCGACACCATCCCGACATCCCGACACCATCCCGACACCATCCCGACACCATCCGACACCATCCCGACACCATCCCGACATCATCTCGACACCATCCCGACACCATCCCGACACCATCCCGCCCTTCCCAGGCCACTGCATCCCGACACCCCGACACATCCTGCCACTGCCCCGGGAACAACCGCCAGATGTGACAGAGCAAAACTCGCAGTCACAGAACGCGCAGAGGTGGAAGAGACTCACAAGGGTCATCGAGTCCAACTCCTGGCCCTGCACAGGACCATCCCCAGGATTCACACCCCCTGCCCCAGAGGATCACCCAAACCCTCCTGGAGCTCTGGCAGCCTTGAGGCTGTGCCCACTGCCCTGGGGAGCCTGTTCCAGGGATGGATGGGGCAGCCACAGCTTCTCTGGGCAACCTGTGCCAGGGCCTCCCCACCCACACAGGGAAGAATTTCTTCCCAATATCCCACCTAACCCTGCCCTCTGGCAGTGGGAAGCCATTCCCCCTTGTCCTGTCCCTCCAGACCCTTGTCCAAAGTCCCTCTCCTGGAGCCCCTTTAGGCCCTGGAAGGGGCTCTGAGGTCTCCCTGGAGCCTTCTGTTCCTCTTCTCCAGGCTGAACACCCCCAGCTCTCCCAGCCTGGCTCCAGAGCAGAGGGGCTCCAGCCCTCCTGACAGAAAAGAAGAAAAAAAACCCAACGAAAATTAAGAAAAAGACCCCATAACAAAAACAACCCCCTGGACTTTAGCTGAACAAACAGGCAGAGTAAAGAAGTTCATGGAAAAGATTTATTGCTCAGAACTCTCTCTGTGTGTGTGAAGGACTAGCAGGAGGCTCCCCTGCTCAGTCCCCCAGCTCATCCCTCACCAGCACAGGGAAGCTCCTGCCCCCCTGGCAGAGCTGGGTGTGGATGGCACGGAAGAGCCGGGCAGAGCCCTCCGGGCACGGGCTGGGCTCCAGGACAGGCAGCAGCTCTGCCATCAGCACCTGGGCAGGACAAGGGGGACACGTCACCAGAGCCAGCACACATTGCCAGGACTCCTTGAAGCGAAGTGGCTGCATAACAAGTGAAATCTAATCAGAGCAGTATGACTAATAACTCATTGATTGACAGATACTTTCTTTTGTCATATTTAACAGAGTTGTTCATCCTCTGCTCATGAGCTACACTAGCAGCCACCGTGTTCCCAGAGCAGTGAGATAAGTGGAGACGCTGCTCCTCTGCCACAGGGAAGGCCCAGCACTGGGATGAGATCATACCCTGCAAGAAGTTAAAGCTGGTGTTGGCTCAGGAGCTCTGCAGCCACACAGTGAAGTGCTCACTCACCCAGCAGTAAGTTCAAGCACTCAGGACTGTTCCTGTCACCTCCCAGCTAATCCAGGACAGATGGGTGAGTGGCCAACTGCAGCCCAAACGGGCTACAGGGGCTGCTAGAGCTGCCAACGTTCCCTGCCCTGGTCTTTGGTCCATTAAGCCTAGCTCAGGATCTCAGCCCACCTCAGCTCAGGTCCAACACCACCCTGGTGCAGCATCATCAGCTCTGGACTGTGAGACTGTGAGAGACAACTCAAGCACAGGTCACTTCCAATCAAAGGACAGAAGCTGGCCTTTGGTGCCCCACTCTTGAATTAATGCTCAGGCAGACCTCCTCTGGGATTTTCATACTGCTCCACATATGTCTGCACAAGGACAGGGAAGCAGGACACAGCTGGTAATCTTTGGGAAGTCTCTACAGACATGAAAGCTACCTAAGGGGAAAGCTGCACATGAAAGAATGCTGCCCTGCTTTACTTCCTAAGAGAGATATCCTTCTCTTTTCCATCCATCTGCTCTGCTCCTGATGTGTAAGAACAGAGGAAACAGACCTTCACCACCAAAGAGAGTCTAAGAGCTACCAGGAGTCTCTGTGATACTTGGCATTCCTCCATGGAAAGGCAATGGACAGGCTTGGCCCAGAAATAGGTACATCCTTTCCCAGGGTATTTATCTTGTATCACATCCACTCATTTCACCTGTTCCAACAATTTCACTTATCTTCACCCTGCAGAGCTGCTTCAGACCCTCAGAGCTCACCTACCACAAAACACCTATTTGGATACATGTGCAGAGGAAACTGAGTCAGTCAACAGAGCAGCGGGAATGTGGCTTTGGTCACCACTTCATTTTGGGCAGATAAAGAACCCAAAACCTTCACGATCCATAATTCAAGACTATAATACTGAAGTCCCATTTGAGGACAGGCAGCAATCTATCTTCAGCCAGAGGGAGGAGTGCAGCCAGTTATTAATAACTCCTCTGTGGCTTAGAAAAAATTACTTTTCCAAAGCCTCTATCATTCAGGTCAACAGTGGATGTGATTTCACAGATCTTCTCTGCCCTTTGCTGCTGGTTGAGAAGAACAAGTGATCTCTGTGCAGCAAGCTCTCTGCTCAGGCTGCTGAAGAAGCTGACACCTCCTACCCTGCTCTCACAGGCTCAGAATGGTCAAATCAAGATTAGCAGCACAGTGGTTTGAGGTTTAAAAGGAAAGGAAGAGAGAGCAGAGGAGTTCACTAGCTGGAGGTCACACAGGAGAGAATGACACAGTGGGTGCCCTCGTGGGACTGTGAAGGGCTGACAAAAGGGGCCTTCAGGCATTACCAACATCCTCCACTGCCAAATTCTTTCAGAACAGCTAAATAAAACCTTATCAGGAGAGGGTCAGACGCATAAAGGCCTCTGCTCTGGCTCTAACAAAAAACAGTCAGTTCCATTCACCTACAAAGACAGCAAGGCACTGAGGGGACTTGGACATGAGGCATAAACACAGAAACACGACTGGGGAAGCTTGCTGTGCTGCTGCTCCCCATCAACACCCCATCCAGCAGTTGGTGCCCCACAACTGCCCTTTCCTTTCCCTGCTCCAGGAGCATTAACACTTTCCCAGACTCACCTTTTGTAGGGCAATCTCTTGGTGCAGCATTGACACTTGCAGCTTCAAGGCAAACAGGTCCCTCAGCTCCTGGAAGCTGGAGTAACACAGGAGAGGCAGAGCCAGCACTCCTGCAGTGTCACATATCTGTCCCCTGGCAGGGACACAGGCTGGGGAGCAGCTTCCCACATCCCCAGTGCAGTCTGGGCGCAGCCTCAGCTGGGACTCCAGAGCTGCCAGGGGGCAAGAACAGGCAGGAGACAAAACCACACAAGTTAAATCTGTACTTGCAGAATTTATGATCTACTTACTGTTCCCAGAAATGAATGACTAATGACAGTGTATTATTCAGGGTAAGCTCCTCACACATGGCACAATCAGGACATCCTAAGCTATGGCATCCAGTGTCCCCAGCAGTTCCTTCCCCAGCCCTCCTGAACTGCAGCAGTTAAAAGCTCCAAGCCTCTCCCGAACACAGAGGGGTGGCACACAGATACCATGGCTTTGTTTGCCACCAGACAATTTCACGTGCTCCATTACCATTAAGGATAACCAGGAGAAAAATTACCTTGTCCACAGTGTCCTGCACAGATGGAAAACCACTGTTCCAGCACATTCACACCTGACCACAAACACGGGGACTGACTCACCTGCTCGAAGAAGCTGCAGCTTCTGCAGGTACTGAGCAACTGTGGTTTGCAAACCCTCCAAGGTCAAAAGGCTTTCATACTCCCCTTGTAGAGTGGGAGGGTCTACAAGAGAAGCAGAGGAAACCCAGCAGGCATGAGCATACTGGAACCTTCCTCTCCAAACACCAGTTTCCAGAGTGGCATTGGGTTCACCAGCCCTCATTTTAGGCAGGCAATGCTCCTGTCCCTCAAGTCCAGCACATGGCAAGGACACAAAACAGATGGAACTGGAGTCCAGACCATCCTTATTCCACCTTCTGCCCCTCCACCCCCTTTTTTCCTTCTTACCTGCAGTCTCAGCTTCCACATACTGCCTCAGATGGGAGGGGACATCCTGGAGGACCCTCAATTCCTCCTCTATCTCTGCAGGACTGAAGTCTGCCTTCGGTGAACAAAACTCAAACAGCAGCAGCTTAAGGAAAGTTCCACACCACCAGCTGAGTGCAGCATCCCTGGCCAGGCCAGCTGGGAGCAGGGACAGAGGGAACAGCCCAGGAAGTGGCATTGCAGGGGGAAGCTGAGGACGGCACAGCACAGCTGTGTACGGCGTGTTTGCCTTGTGGCCATGTTTGGCTGGATCAAGAGTTTTGTAAGTGCTCAAGAGCTGTACTATGAAAAACCCCACTTCCCAGAGACCCAGCTTGAAGTGCTGGTATTGGAGGCATTACTCTCTCCAGCTGGGAGCTCACTGTGGAGCAACTGTACCCGGAGCCTGCTGGGAAAGGATACAGTTGTCTGGATCCTCTTCACAAAACGGGCCCTTGCAGCTGCTGCATCTGCACTTGTTTGGCACAGATGACATTTCTCCCATGCCCTGAAAATTCCAAAGGGGCAGGAGGTGGAAGTTACACTCCTTTGTACCAGACAGTGTTCCCACTGAGCTGTGACACACCAGTGTGACACATCAGTGCTTTAATTACAAGTGTCTCCATCACCCCCCTCTCTCACAGGTTATTTACTAACCATTCCCAACTCATTCCCACAGCTGGTATTAGATCAGCAAGGACACCCTGCAGAAAACATTAGACACTGCAAAACACCTGTTCCCCTCTCCACTTGTTTTAAAGGGAAGGATTTACAGCCATCAGAAGACAGACAGCACATTTCCAGAAGCAGAATGTGAACTTGCAGTACATCCCTAATTCTGTTGTATTGCCCTGCCTATGTTCATGTCCCATAGGAAACACCAAATCTTCCCTTCCTTTCTTAGGAGTAAGTCATCTGCATTTCTGCACAGTTGTTCTGTTAGCAAAGGTGCACAAAAAGAAGAGCAGACAGGACAAACTCTCACCCCAATTCCTTCATATGCCAAACTTCCTCAAGATTCTCCTTTAATCCTTTTTTTGGGGGACAAAATGCTATGTTTGGCAGGCAGTATGCCAGCAGTGTGTCAGCATCAGGGATGCAAGACACAGGCTAAAGGACAGTATCATGAGGAAGCTGGCCAGGAGTTCACACCAGAGTCCAGTTTTTTAAATAAAGCACTACACAAATAACAGCATTACCAGAGAGATGCATTTCACTTACAGAGTTCACCATCCCCATGGATACACAGTCCCCATAATATCCTTTACTTAAGAACTGGTTTAAAAAGCCAATCTCCCAAAATCTGCTGCAGTGAGAGCCATCAGGAGGAAGCTTAAAATAGTTCTGCAGTGCCTGACTGCCTAACTCATGTGCATGTGTCTTTTAAATCATGTTAGGAACTGCAGATTTCAGAAATACATTATGCAAAGAAGTGGCAAGATTAATGGAACAGGAGAGAACAGAAGTTCCCAGGCAAGATGCATTCCCTCTACAAGGGTTCTTTAGTGCAAAGGTTATTCTCAATCTGTCACTGAGTTGAAAGCAATAGTGAAAAGTATAAAATTACACCAGAGCGATTAGAATGCTGAAAGGCTCAATTTACAAGTGAAAATTAAGGGAATAAGGTCTTTACAACTTGTTGAAGGGCAACTAAGAAACTGGTGGCTGATAAATGACAGTTCCCAAGAGGAGGAGGAATTCTTGAGGGCAGCACAAGGGGCTACAGTTAGAGTTAAGACAGGGTTTAAGCTTAACATCTGAATTAAGCACATAATGAGAAATCTGCTGAATTATGGCAAGATTTCTCAGAGTAAATGTGGGAAACCCTTCCAGAAGACTGGAGAATGCACCAGAGCACTGAGCTCACCAGAAACCCAACCACCTGCACCCTCACTGCAGGAACTCTGGAGTTGGCTCTCTGTAAGAGCTGAACAGCAGGAACAGCCTCAAACACACACAGCTGTGGTGCTTCCAGAGGTGTCCCAGCAGGGCAGGGCACAGCTGGTTTGGGAATTGTTCAGTGGATAGGGTACAGAGGCACCCACCCCACAGGGTCTCCTGCCTCCAACAGGTGTCTGCTACCAGCAGAGGCTTCTGCTGCACTGTTAAACCCACAAATAAAGCATTCCAGTTCCTTCATGACTCAGTGAGCAAGAGTAATTAGCACTCTGAAAATAAATTCTAGCAGCTAGAATAACATGAGCACACACATCCTCAGCAAGAGCCTTGCAGGGCACTCCTCCTGCTCCCAGTTCAGCCCCACACCCCACGGGGTCACTGCCTGCCCAGGAACCACCACCAGCCCCGGCCCCCCACCCGGCCCCTCCTCACAGCCCCTAAGCAGAGGGACTGCACTAGTCAGGCTGGGCTTACCTGGAGTTCCTGGAATAGGCTATCCTGTAGGGAAGGGGGAGCTTCAGCTGGCATCTGCAAAACAGGAGAAGGATCAATCCTGGCTGCCAGGGAGCAGTTGAGCCTTGTCTTCCAACAGGGAAAATGATATTTTGTCAAAATCTGGAATTAATTTAGCTGCAATGGGAGATGCAGCAACCCTGGAGACTGAATCCACCACTGCCTCCAGCTTGTCCTCAAGGAAGGAGGCTCAGGCTCCTCTCTAATTCTACAGACATCACTGAGCTGACCTGCAGGAGCTCCTGCATCCTGCCACCAGCTGTCAGAGGCTCATCCAAGGTGGGAAGCTGGGAGCAAAGCCCTGGCACGGCAGAGAACAGGCATGGAAACAACTTGTTCAGGGAAGCTGGTCTGCCCAACCCTGCTGCTCTACCTGAGCAGGACAAGGCAGCTTTGCTTAGCACCACATCACACTCAAAGAAATGGGAAAGGGACAGTCCAGCTTCCATTGGAATATGGTTCTTAACCCCGAAGTAAAATAATCCTAAAGTTGTAACTACAAAAACAAATGGGTTGGCAGTTATTAGTCACATGCAGACTAGGAACCCAAGGCCACAGTTGAGATTTTAAGTACACAAACACTTGAATCCAGATCCCTGTTCCCCCAGCAACTGTCACTCAGTGTCCTGTGTCCCTTCCAATGCCAGTGAACAGGGATAATTTCCTTCCTGCACAAACACAAGTCTGGGTTGTGGTAGCTGAGAGACATTCCTCAAAATTTTCCTGGGACATCAGAGCTGACCTTCACTGCTTCTTTAAAGCAAACAGTACACAGAAAAGAAATTCTTTAAACAAGACAGACTGGCCTGAATGCAAAGCCAACATTCCAAGTATTATTTTGCCACTTTTCCACAGAGAATCTCAGTAACATCCACGTCATAATCCTTCCCACACCAAACACTTGAAACAACTGCATTCTAGTCCATCCTGACTTGTGTAGTTATATGGGCAGTGTCTTACAGGTTAAGCCAGATGCCATCACTGCAAACAGCATTGGGCACCTGCTTTAGAGAGAGTGCAAATTCATGCATTATGTATTATCACCGTGTAAAAAGAGAACAAATAAAAAAATCAATATGCTATAATAGAAAGTGCACTCAGAGGAAAACTAAGGCTCAAGAAAGCTCTACAGAGACAGTTTTCCATAACAGTCACAGGGGACTATGAAATACCAACAGTCCTAATTGAAAGGCTTTCAAAGTCCCAGCCATCCAAGAAGAAGCCCTTTAAATTAAAACCACTTGCTCAACCACAGTAAAGGCTTTTAAACTGTACAGGATGCTTCCTCTTGAGAGGGATGGGAGGATGGTGAAAGCAGGCTGGGGCCCCAAGGAGCAGCAGCAGCCAGCAGGGTTTGGAGATGTGCCTCTGAGTGTCAAGTGGAACACGAAGAGAGGTGCCCACCTCCCACACTCACCCCTTTTCCCACAGGGTGCCTGTCCCAGGTGAGAAGCTCCTTCCTGATGCACCTGCAGTGTCCTCCTTTTTGCTGGACTCTCCCAGGAAACCACAACTTTTCTTCCCTGCATCAAATAACTCCTGGCCAGCAGCTATTGAGTTCTTTTCCCCAGCTGAATCCCCCACAGAAAAACTTTGCTGCTCATTTGGGGCAGATTTGGACGAGCCAAGTGTCTCTTGGGGTTCAGCTGGAGCACAGACCTCTGTGGCACTGCCAGTTGCTGTCCTCTGACTCCCTCTTTGTTTCGAAGCCACCCCTTTTGAGGAGTTCTTCCCAGATGTCCTGGGACCTTGAGAAACACATCTGGCTGGGGCTTTCCTTTGTGGTTTCTTCACATCTGGGTCAGTCCTATAAGGGGCTCTTAGCTGGTATGCAGAGGGCTTCTTTGAAGAGCCAGGCTTTTTGCTTCCAGTTCCCACCTTTGTGCTCTCAGGAACATCCTCAACAGGTACAGGCCCCTGCTGCTCTTCAGCCTTCCTGGCAGCAGGTCCCTCACCTGCCAATTTCTTTCCTGTAGCTCCCGGGGCCTCTAATGGACTTTTCAAGATGCTTTTCCTGACTTTCAGTGCCTTCTCTAAGGCCCTGTTCAGCAGTTCCAGCTCCTCCAGCTCCTTGGGTGAAGGCCTGTTCTCTGCAAGAGGAGACAACACGTCAGAAAGTCCAACCCTGGATCTTGCCCATCTGTCTCTTCACTAATCTGCTTTGCCATGTACTACAGAAGGGAACCAGACAATGAATGGTGCAGGGGGTATTTTTTTTGGCTGTGGGAGCAGCCAGTGCACAGAGGATGCAGGCAAGCTGCAGGAAGCCTTGAACACAGGACGGGTGTGAGCCACAGAAGAGAGTTCTGCAGAATCAACCTCAGCAAGTGACAACCCCACGCCTGGGTCAGGCCTAGAGACACTTCACCACTGACCTGGATTACCGAGGCGCGACTCCAAGCTAACTCCAAGGAGGAAAGTGGGAGGGAAAAAGCAGAGGGGGGTTAGGTCGCAGAAAAGTGGAACGGCTGCTAACACCGAACCTGGCTCAGCCCCGGTGTGACCTGAGGGGCCCTCGGGCCGGGGGAAGCGCTCACCGTGTCCAGCGCCGGAGCCGGGCTGCGGCTGCTCCTCTTCCTCGCCGCCCCTGGGGGAACAAACAGCGCCGGGGCCGGCGATGTGCACCGGGACCGGCCCCGCGGCTGCGGGCCCGGGCCCGGGGGCCGCAGGGTGTGCCCGGGGCCGCCCCGCACTCACCACGGCCGCAGCAGCGCCCGGCCCCGCTCCGCCCGCCGCTCCAGCTCCCGCCGCCGCTCCGCGCCCGCGCCCAGCGCCGCCCTCAGCGCCGCCGCCGCCCTGCGGGGCCCAGCGCGCTCAGCGGGGCCCGGACCGGTCCCAGCCCCGGTCCCAGCCCCGGTCCCAGCCCCGGTCCCAGCCCCGGTCCCAGCCCCGGACCCGGCCCGGCCCGGCGCCCCCGCTCCCCCCCGGACCCCGCTCACCGCCCGCCGCGGCCCGCGGGCAGCATCGTCCCGGCCGGGTCCTGACCGCCCCCGCTCTCCGCCCGCGCTCCCTCCCTACGGCCCTGCCAGGACCTGCGGGGAGGGCGGGGCGAGGCCCGCGCGCGGCCAAGGGCGGGAGCGGCAGCGGGGAGGGACCGCGGGATCCAGGGAGTGCCCGGCCGGGGATCGCTGTGCCTGCTCGGGGATCGCTGTGCCTGCCCGCGGGATCCCGGGAGTGCCCGGCCGGGGATCGCTGTGCCTGCCCGCGGGATCCAGGGGCAGCCCGGGCGGGGATCGCTGTGCCTGCCCGGGGGTCTCGGAGGGTCCCGGGGGTTTGCATCGGCAGAGAGGCAGATTTGTGATTTTTTTGATGGAGGAATCTGCCCTGTCCTGCGGCTGTGAGAGCTGCCTGTTGGTACCGCTGGGATCCCGACTGGAATATTGCTGCGAAGTCCTGCAGTTCCCCAAAAGTGCCCATAGCTGGCACTCGGCGATGCCTGTTCCGGGCAGCCGAGCAGCAGGAATCCAGTCCTCCCCTTTGCACAGCACAATGAAAGTTAACAGAAGTTTATAAAGAAGGAAAGAAGTGGTTCTTTGCTTTCGAGGGCTGAATCTTCAGGTTGAGATGCCTGTGATTCTCTGCAGCCATTCTTCTAAAGAGAAAAAGTTCAGAATTACAGGCAACACATGGAGACAGGGCTTTAAAAAAAACTATAAAATATTACAAGGTTGGCCCCATCTTGCCCCATTCTTGCAACTATGTGTGAGTTCACTGTCAGAACACTGTGAACAGTTCTGCCTCTGAGGCATGGACCAAGATAGAGCCCAGCTGGCTCTTCCAGGGCTGAGCGGGCTCAGCAGGGCTGACAGGGGGTATCAGACACACAAAGTAGTTTAATCAGCAAAATCATGAGCTGCAATGCTGTGAGACCTCGGGGAGCAGCAGTGGGACAAAAAGAGCTCATTTACACACAGCTGCTTCTCTAGAATCATGGAATATTCTATGTTGGAAGGGATGCACAGGGATCATCAAGTCTAACTCCTGACCCTGCCCAGGACACCTAACAATCTCACCCTGTGCCTTAGAGTGTTGTCCAAACATTCCTTGAGCTCTGGCAGCCTTGGGGCTGTGCCCACTGCCCTGGGGAGCCTGGGCAGTGCCAACCACCCTCTGGGGGAAGAACCTTTTCCTGAGATCCAACCTGAGCCTGCCCTGACACAGCTCCAGCCATTCCCTGGGTCCTGTCACTGGTCACACAGAGCAGAGATCAGAGCTGCCCCTCCACTGCCCTTCCTGAGGAAGCTGCAGGCCCTGATGAAGTCTGACTTCAGTCTCCTCTTCTTCAGCTGAACAAGCCAAGTGACTTCAGCTGCTCCTCATACAGCTTCCTCTCTAGACTCTTCACCATCCTCCTGTTTTCCAATACTTTCAGATCCTTCTCATATTGTGGCTCCCAAAGCTGCACCCAGGGCAGGTTGATTCCTGGAGCTGGGACTGGCTGAGAGATGAAGTCCCATCACAGCTCCTGGAGCCACCAGCATTGCTCAGGGGGGCACAGCTCCTCAGACACCTGCATGCTGTTGACATTTAAGTAATTAAAAACAACCAAAAAAGGCATCAGGCTGCTGTAATCTGGGAAAGTCACCTGGGGCTGGAACAGCACTACTGACACCACTACCTTTTGCATCAAGTGTCTGTGGTTTAGAAGTGCTGAAAATGACCCCCAAACCCCAATGATCCCTTTGTATTGAAGATGAACCAGGCGTGCAACCCCTCCTGAGCCTCTGGCTTTAGCAGGCAATAAGATTCCTACTAAAGGACAAGAAAGCTTTATACGAGTCCTTTGTTGTCGGTCTGCACCTTGCTGGGAAGAAGGATGGGTGACTGTCTGCTTGTTGGCTTGGAATTAAGATCAGGGTGAGGCAAATGCTGCTGCCATCACAAAATTAGGAGTGGCAGCATGGCAAGAGGTGGGGAGGGCAAGGCTCTACCTGCCCCTTCCAGCTGCAGCAAGAGGTGGTTAAACCACGGGGTGAAACCATGGCAGAGGTGCTGGGGTGAGGTGATAATTAGCAGAAACTTCCTGACAGAGATAAACCCACTCCACTGCTGACACCCGGGGCTCAGAAGGTGCGACACTGACACTGGGCATCACAGCCCAGCTGCTCCCACACCCCTATCCCACTCCCTCCACACCTCTGTGATGGGTTCCTGCTGCCTCACCTTCTGAGGAGTCTTGCAACAGGGCAGCTGCTGGGTAAATCAGTTCCTACATTCTCCTGTGGGTGGTTGGCTTCCCAGTAGATCATGTGGCAAACCAGCTGAGCAAAAAGGCCAAGGTGTGTGTATCTGACTGTCTTCACTGACAGCAGCTTGTGCTAGAAGAGGCAAATGCAGCAAAGAGCCATATTCTGTTAATGTAGCAATGAGACCCTGCCCCAGTACAGACCTATTCTGGCCCAGTTGGCCTAGGAGACATTTGTGCCAGGGACTGGACTTTAAGCTAACAGAGTCTAAATGTGTTTCTACCTCATGATATTTCTTGCTGAGGAAATGCTGGGTACCTCAACAGGGCACACATGCTGAATAACCTTTCAACTGGTGCAAATTACTACTTAAAGATTTAATTACAAAAGATATATAGGTTAAAATACCCATGTGATGTACAAGGGGCAGTGGCTGGTAGTCACAGCTCTGCCACCAGTTTATTTTTGGGACCTGCAGTGAAGAGGCATCTTGCATAGGTGAGATGTAGCAGAAGTTACAGTGCCAGCACTCATTGTTCAGGCTGACATCAGGTGATGTTCTGCAATACGTATTTCTTTTTTACTGAGAGTCCAGTACCCGTAAGCTGATAAAAATAATCTTTCAGGCCCTGGGATCTCCTGCTGGGTGTCTTTGATAGCTCTGTCCATAGCCCAAGGGTAAAATGCAAGGAGGCATCACACTTCAAAGAACAGCAAGCAGGAAATAAAAAGAAGCAGGAGATAAACTTCATCACTAATAAACCTCCCCACACTTTTTTCTCATGTTATATTACATCAACTTCCTTCTCCCATGTGCTGCCCATGGAGAACAGTGGTATTTGCTGAGCTGACACAGGAAAATCCTCGCTGTATATACCAGGATGTCATGGTTGAACCTCAGCTGTTCACTCCTCCCCAGAGGGAGGGAAAGAGAATCATTAAGGGCAAAAGTGAGAAAACTTATGAATTGAGATAAAGGCAGTTTAATAGGGAATGCAAGAGCCACACAAGCAAAGCAAAACAAGGAATTCATTCCCCTTTCCCCTGGGCAGGCAGGTGTTCAGCCACCCCCAGAATACCTGGGCTCCATCACATGAACAGTTACTTGGGAGGGCAAACGCCATCCCTCTGAATGTCCACCCCTAACTTCTTCTTCCCCCCAGCTTTGTATGCTGAGCATGATGCCAAATGGTCTGGGATACCCCTGTGGTCAGTTGGGATCAGCTGTCCTGGCTGTGTCCCCTCCCATCTCCTCGTGCACCCCCAGCCCCCTCGCTGGCAGTGCTGGGTGAGGAGCAGCCGAGGCCTTGAGGCTGTGTAAGCCAGGCTCAGCAGTAACCAAAACATCCCTGGGTTATCAGCTCTGTTTGCAGCACAATTCCAAACAGCCCTGTACCAGCTACTCTGAAGAAAATTAACTCTACCTCAGCCCAAACCAGCCCAGGGGTAATGTCCTGTACAAACCATTCATTTTTGAGTCAAGGAAGAGGAAAATCTCCCAGTGTTCCCAGTGTAAGCCTGAGGATGTTGCTATGCTGCTGGAAAAATACATAAATATCCAAGATCCATCTTCAGCTCTTCTTGTCATTTCTTTGGAGCAAAGATTCCAGGAAATGAATCTGTAGGAAATACAGGTTATAAATAGATTCCCAGACCCTGTATCTTGCTGCAGCCAAAATCCCTGCAGAATTCCCATGGCTATCAGCAAGATGGGGTAGGAAGGGACAACCTGAGTAACCTGGTTTAGTAGAAGGTGTCCCTGTCCATGGCAGGGGGTTGGAATGAGATGATCTTAATGCTCCCTTCCAACTTAAACCATCCTGTGATTCCATGCTTCTGTGTGACATGTCCTGGAGAGACGATGTCCTGTGGCACTCAGTGTCAGCTCAGCTGGCAGTGAAGGATGTCGGGGTGCTCTGGGCACACTGATTTTGCTGGGGTTCCCAGCAGTTCAGCAGCAGGTTCCCAAGCTGCAGGTCACAGGCTACTTGAATTCATAAAATCATAGAATCATAAAATCATTGAGGCTGGAAAAGCCCTCTAAGATCATCGACTCCAACCATTAACCCAACACTGCCAAGGCCACCACTAAACCATGTTCCCACGTGCCACATCCACATGTTTTTGGACCCCTCCAGGGATGGGGACTCCACCACTGCCCTGAGCAGCTCGTGCCAGGGCTGGACAACCCTTCCAGTGAAGAAATCTTTCCTAATATCCAACCTAGACCTCCCCTGGCACAACCTGAGGCTGCATCAGCTTTGTAAAACTGGTTCACTGAAAATGCTGAGAGCATAGACACTCCCGCTGGGAAATACTCTGTATCCTCACCCTCTTCCTGGATGTTACATTGGATCGGCCCTCATTGAAATTAAATACAGAGAACAGTGGAAGTCTCCCTTCTGTGAAACCATGAAATAGGTGGGGCTACAGTGTGTGTCCAAGTTGGAAAAGAGAACAAAAAAGTATCAGTGTATACTGTTTTATATTACAATCATACATGTGTATTAATATTGCTGACTATCAGAATTGGCACACATTAATTACCTACTTTCTGTTTTGAAAGATGGGCAGGCAGTATTTAGAGAACTAGATGAGCAAGGAGGCCCAGGTAGGGCAGGATGCCTCTTCTTTCAGCAGCAGAACCAATGTGCAGACATAAGAAGTGTAATTTTCTCTCTATTGAGGCTACAAAGAGAAGTCTGCTTATTCCCTGGCACTCCTAGATGTCCCAACAGAAAAACTATTAAAACTGCTGGAGACTCTGAGTTTGAAATCAAATTGCTTCAACAATATGTTAACATAAAATATGTGTTAATTATACTAAAGATAGGGTGGAGTTTCAGTTTAAGTATGCATTAACATCTTATATTTTGGGCAACTGCATGTAGTGAAATGTGTATAAGCCAGGCAGGTATATTACAAATAGGTA